CCCGACTCTAACCCGACTCTGACCCGATTTGAACCCTCGATGGAAACGTAGTCATATATATGGTAGACAAAAATATGAGAACGAAGAGAAATTATAATATATATATATATATATATATATATAGAATATATTCTATATTCTAGATCTATATTCTATATCCTCATGTATATATATATATATATATATATATATATAATTAAATTATCGTTAATTGCCGCATCATGCAATAGAACAAAAATCTAAAAAAAAATATAATACCATGTTTGAATTAGATCTACAGTTTTTCTACAATTAAGTATTGAAAATAAATATGACTGGCCAATAAGTGCGAAATTATAGAAATGCAGAACTATAGAATTATAGTAATTGTATGCATCATGTTGAAAAACGGTATAAGATTAGATTAAATGATGCATTAAATGATCCTAAGCAAATACGGTTATTTCTTAGCATCCTATATAATATGAGAAAATATACTAAATAAAAGATTACTAAATTATATAAAAACAAAAATTGTTACTTTATCATTGGTGCGTTTGCACGTTATTCTTCGTTACAGAGTAACCAATCAAAGCTATAAAACATCAAATGAATTAGTATTCCTCTTACTAAAAGTACCTATTTTCATAACAGTGATTATTGCTTGTTGTTTTTAATACATAAAAGGAATATATCATAAATAAATATTTGTAAAAATAAATTTAAAATTATAGAGCATGGTTTTATTGGGTGAAACTTTTCCAAATTTTGTAGCAGATACACAAATTGGACAAATTAATTTTCACGATTGGTTAGGTGACTCGTAAGCAAACAATTTAAATATCTAATTTAATTTATTGCTTTTATAAATAACTGTAAATATAATCATGTCTCTACTATATCTCTAATTTTTCTCAAGTAACAATTATTTGTTAAATGATATTTTATTCAAATATAAATATACTTATTTTTTCATGTCATATGCTTATAAATTCAATTGTTCCATTTCTTCAACTGACAGAATTTATAAAAATGCAATGTGTTTTTTGACATTTGTTAAAGATTTGATATTTTTTAATGTACAAACTTGCTAAATGAAAATATGTATATGAAGACATCTAGTAATTGTGATATAATAGACTATATTTTACAGATGGGGTATTTTGTTTTCCCATCCAAATGATTTTACACCAGTATGTACAACAGAATTAGCCAGAGTGTTAAAATTAATGCCAGAATTCAAAGAACTTGGAGTAAAAGTTATTGCATTATCATGTAATTCAGTCGATTCTCACTGTAAATGGATAGAAGTATGTTTTTGAATGTTTGTTATTAGAAATTGTCTTATCACATTAGAAAGCATGTTAATTGAGCTCACAAAATATAATAATTTACTTTCTAGGATATAAAAGCTTTTGCTGATGTAACCGACAAAGAATTTCCATATCCAATAATAGAAGATGAAACACGGAAACTTGCAACTTTGTTAGGAATGTTAGATCCTGCAGAAGTTGATAGCAATGGTATTCCTTTGACTGCTAGAGCAGTATTTATTATTGATCCTGCTAAAAAAATGAGACTTTCAATTTTATATCCTGCAACTACTGGAAGAAGTTTTGAGTACTTTCTTTTGTGTATATTTAATTGATTTTTAATCTTAGTAATATATCTTTATTAATTATTTTTTTTTTGACATAGTGAAATTTTACGCGTGATCAAATCACTACAATTAACAGAAAAGCATAAAGTAGCAACTCCTGTTGAATGGAAGGTTTGTATGTACAAATGTATAAATAAATTAAAGTGACGTATGTGTATTAAACAAAATGTTTGTTGTAATTTTAGGATGGAGATTATGTCATGATTCAGCCAACTGTTTCTGATGATGAAGCTAAAGAATTATATGATAATATTAAAACCATACCTTTACCATCAGGAAAAGGATATTTACGTATGGTACCTCAGCCAACATAATTTTTTTTAAATGTGAAAAACAAATACTTTGAAATATATATTTATAAATAAAAAAAATGTATATTTATAAAAATTAAAGTATACATTCAATCATGTATTATTTTTTTTAGTATTATAGTACTTTCATATTTCTTGAAATACAATTAAAAGAAAGTGTATTTCAAAATTACACACTAAAATATGTTTTAAACTTGTTATGTTTCCTATTATTGATATTATTGTTCACGAAAATTTTGCGATGTTTCCGTTAATACATAACCGCAACTACTCATCGATAAAGGTACGTACAGTTATTAAAACAAGAATTCTAATGTTGGCATTTGCAAACAACAAAAAAAGCTGTTTATTGTATTACCTAATGTAATTAAAAGTACACTGTGTTATATACATTTTTCCAAGTACACGATCACTTATGGTCTCTAGGCATAATGTATATAATATTTACACTGTTTTTTCTTTTTTTTAATTAAGTTATTACTAAATTTACTACATTATGGTTATATCTTATGTCTGAATAATCCTTGAAGTGTTTGCGCAACTACGCAATAGTAGACAGCAGTTATATAAAACAGTCCCTCGTCAAAATCAATAAAGATCATAAAGAATAATAAATTTAACAAAATTATACTTTGTTATTGTAATGTTATATAATTAAAAGTTAATTACCACACAATATATCGAATGATAAAATACTATTGCCAGCCTTCATACTCAACAACTTCATGTTATACATTCATAATGATAGTAATGGTAATGTGTATGTTGTTTACTCGTTATTTAATTATTTGTCCCATTTCATTCCATATAAACTGGAAGGAAAAATTAAATTTTATAAATGTTTTTATTTTTTTTCTCATATTTAAAGTTCTTTGAATGCACTTGTGCTTTCTGTTTAATTAATAATTGTCGTTTCATCGAGTTATATATTTAAATGTTTATAAACCGACAATTTTCCTGGAAATCGTTGTGCGAATACCGCAGAATATACTGCAGGATAAAAATAATCGTCACAACGGAAGATTTGATTATTAACATCACCAGTACTATTTAGAATTCACTTTATTTTTTTTCTTTTCACTTCACTCGGTCGTTGTGTGAGTTTCCTGTGAATCAGATTGTAATTCACCCTCCATTCTTGCTTGTCGTTCCGCTGCAGCTCTCGCTTGTCTTCCAGCACTGGAACGAAGATTTTTTCGTTCCGGAGGAGGTTCTGCGCTCAGCCGTTTCCCACTTCGCGCCTTTTTTCCTTTAGTACCTTTATTATCTTCTTCAACTTCTGACGAAACTTTCGACGTATCACTTTTCGTGTTATTGGCATTCGGTTGCGACGTGGTTGCATCTTCTGAGCTTGTTGTTATCGATGTCGTAGAGGTAGGTGTAACAACAGAGGTGGATGTAGATGTAGATGTTGGGGTAGATACAGGTGTAGATACAGGTGTAGGCGTACGTGTAGGTGTAGATGCAGGCGTAGCTGTAGTTGCAACTGTAACCGTAATGGTTGGTGTCGATATAGTAGTTATTGTAGTAACGGTTTCATCAGTCTCTTTTTTATTAACATTTGAAGATGTTTCGCTAGAAGTATTCGTCTCTTCTACCGAGTTCTGCTTAACCGTTACGGCCGATGATCGTGCTGTATGTTCAATTTCACCTGTTGACACATCAGCTGATACTGTTGGCGTAGTTGCCGTGGTCGTTACAGGTTTGGTGTTAACTTCAATATCGATTCTGGGTTTCTTACTAATAGGTTCCAAAGTTATTTCAAGCATACCCGATGCCTGTTGTTCGGAACATTGATTATGGTCTGCATTCCGACTTCTCTTTTCGCTCGATCGCTGATCCTCAATATTTCTCGTTAAAAGTTCTGCGCTAGTTCTACTTAAATGCTCCAAAGCCTCTTTCATCTCTTGTTCTTTGTTCTTTCTTTCGGTTCGTCGATCAGACAAATCTGCCACATCGTTCTGTTCCAGATTTTCTCTCTTTTCTTGTTCCATTTTACGCCGTTCTTCGTTATGCAACGTCATATCCGTATACTGCTGTAACGTTATTCCCGGATCAACAGAATACCTGTTTTTCTTTTCGGCGTCTTTTCGTTTAGTTGTCGATTCTGTGATCGCATCGCGTTGCCTTGCATTACTTGCCGATGATGTAGGCTTACGCACCGTTGACGCAGTTGAAGTAGATGGATTTAGAAGTCCGCATTGAGCAAGACTTTCATAGGCCGATGATACTCCACCAGGTTGCATCGAGAATGGATTCAAACCACCCAAACCCAATGGGGTATATAGTAAGCTGGGATTTGGGAAAAAGAAAGGGAATGGTGTCGTTGTAGGTATCGTAGATGATGCTGATGAAGTTGAAGGCACCGAAGATTTACTCGTAGGAGGTTCTAGTTTATTTCGGGATGATTTACCAGCACTGCTGATATTAGTAGAACTTGTGTTTTTGCTGCTGACAGAACTGACAACTGGATTCGTTTCAGCTGCCGTGCTAGTTGCTGTTGCACCCAGAGCAGCCTCCATACCCGCTAAAGATGGTAAACCGAGTCCAGCAAGATTCGCGAATAAGGAATTCGTTAGACTCATGTTACTTAGATTATTAAGGTTGCCTAATCCACTCAATGCACCCAGATTGGGTAAACCGCCGAACGGCATAAGAAGAGGATTATTCTTCGGATCGAAATTGCCAAGAGAAAGTCCAGATAAAAGCGAGTTATTTAAATTACCCAACGAAGGGAAATTTAAACCTGAAGCCATCGATGTGGCTGCTAAATTAGCTTGATTCGTAGACTGCTGGCTATTAGGGCTTGGCATCATAGGAGGTCTTCCTGGGCTCTTACCCTTATTGGCATTGCTCCTATCATTTCCTGATAATCTTTTTTGCAAATCGTGTGGTAAATTCCCACGTTCTTTTACGAGTTCTGCCCATTTTGGATCTACATCAAACATTGGATTTTCAATCAACCATTGACCTAATCGTTTTAATTGTGGTGCTTTGCTACCGGTAACCTAAAATATGTATATTTTAATGTAGTATGAGCACACACTTTATAAATACAGTATAGTCTCACAATATGGCATCTATTTATTAGAATTAAAAATATTTTTAAATTTCAAAATTTTGAACTTAGCAATTTAAAAAAGCTCAGATTTTGAAATTTAGATGTAAAATTTATTAATTATATCGCTAACAGCGATAAATCTTTAAGAATTAAGTGCTACTCCGAGGAAGTGCCACTCAACATTTTTTATTTCTGCAGCCTTGTAGTGCCAATGCCATATAGAGGGACTCCACTATATAATTAAATAATATCAAATATAATGATTGTATTAGACTTTATATGAATTCAATAATATTATTCAGATAGTATCAAATTTCGTATTCGAACCTTTTTTCCTGTTAATCTATTAATGACAGCAACATTCTCTTCGCCTGTTAATTTCTTCCAATCTAGCAAGGATGGATCAACGCGTGGCCTTCGTCGTCTAGGAGCATTTAAATATTCTGCACCTAATTGTTCAGACATGGCAGTTTGTTCAGCTAACCACTTGTTCACTTTAGCCTCATGCGAATATGAGCCGATTTTAGACGAATATTCAGCAACTTTGTTAATGTCTGCAATCATTGCTTCGTAACTCTTTCTATGGCCACTTGATGATGACGAATGCGTTGAATTAAAATTTTGTTGCTGCTGTTGTTGTTGTTGCTGTTGTTGTTGCTGTTGCTGCTGCTGCTGTTGTTGTTGTTGTTGCTGCTGCTGCTGCTGCTGTTGTGACTGCTGTTGATGTTGCTGTTGTTTCTTATATTCGCGATTTTGTTGCTCTGCTTGAACAAGTAAAGCAGAGAAACTATCTTTGTGCGAATGTAAAGAAGGAGGAGGTAATCCAGAAGTTGAATTCGATGCACGAGAAGAAGGAATTGAAGTGACAGTAATAGAAAATGGTTTCTGGGTACTCGTTGGAGGATTTGGAAGCCCCATGGGTGCAGAAGTAGGTGTGACAGTAACATTTGGTGTAATTGTACTCTTTTTACTATGTTCAGGATAGTGACTGCTTTGCTGTTCTTTTGCTGCACTTAATCCTAGTACTATTTCATCCAATTTCCTACGTTTTTTCTCTTTTCCCATTACAGGTTCATCCGTAGGCTGTGGAACGAACAGATATATAAATTTTGATTCATATATTACATAATTTAAAAAAAAAAAGTAAATAATTCAGGTAAATATACATACACAATTTTTTCTTTTCATTAATTTATCTAACATACTATCTAATTTTCCTTTATTACTGCTAATTTGTTTATTTTTATTTGGCATTGAAAAATCCTGAACCTCGTTCATAATGTCTTTACTGTTATCAGTACTTGGTTTTGGATACCTAAAATAGATACATTATCTGTATAAATAATTATAAAAATAAATATAGTCTTATGTTCAAGTTTATAAAAAATTAAACAAGATCATACCCAGCAGATAAATCAATAGGTGTTAAAGTACTAGAAGTTCCAGGAATTACAGTTGGTTTTCCAGGAACTGTATATTTCAAATCGAAAGGTATATTTGGTGTTCGTGCTTGTTGATGAGCCGGAGGTGGTTGAACCGGTGTCGAACGTCTCGATTCTTCAGACTGTGATTCATCATTCATTTCCCACGTATTAGATCCAGACAACACAGTAGGCTTACTCAAAGTTGCAGGTGACTGAGTAACCGTATGGCTGCTACTATTTAATAATGCATGGAGTTTCGCTAAAAATGGAAAAGTATAAAAAATAAATACAAAAACTATTAATTAAAATAACATAATTATTGAATAATTATGTATATTTTAATACCTCTTTCAGTTTCTACATCAATAGCAATATGCCTCTTGCGTTTCTTAGATTGTGATATATTATTGCTGGGTGTTATGTTACGTGACATTCCGTGATCAGTAGTTATAGTTATAACTTCTGAACATTCTTTTTCATTTGACTGCTGTTGATGTTGCTGTTGTTTCTTATATTCGCGATTTTGTTGCTCTGCTTGAACAAGTAAAGCAGAGAAACTATCTTTG